TTCAGCAAAGTTCCAGCTCGAATGAAAGAGTTTTAATTTTGGAACGATTTTCGTCCAAGTGGCCCTTTATTAAGATATATGCATGAGTGTTTGTGTAGGGGGGAGTGGGGAAGGAGATTTGGTACACAGTTTATTCTTCAATCCAGTTTATCATTATTTTATGGAATATTGACTTATCGACAGCCAACAAGAAAGTAAAAATTGTATTGGAAAACAAACTAACTTTGTTAAGGCCGGTTTAGACGGTACGATTTTCGCCTACAACTATCGTATACAACACGCTCGCGTTTGTCGTAGGCGAGTTGTAGGCTTGATTTAYACGCTGCGACTTGAGTTGTAGGATGGCGCGAGCGTGTTGTATACGATAGTTGTAGGCGAAAATCGTACCGTATAAACCGGCCTTTAAAAAAAAACTCGTTAAAGAGAGATGTGGTGGGAGTTACTGAATTTACAATCACAATAAAAAGCCTCTTGCGCAATCATATCGACTTCTTAATCACTCTCAGTTGTGTAGGATTTGTTGTAAAACATGGTAAAATGGTGGCAAAAAAATGCAGAGAAATGATAAAAGATTTTWAAAATTATACAAAACGTTTAATGATAATAATATTATTTATATTATTTGATGTCATGTTAAAAATTATAACGAACAGTTACAATCAACTAAATAATACCAAAATTAGGACACTCAGAGGAGACAGTACATTTAGATCAATGATCCTTTGCGCGCTCAAAAGAACTTTTTCGAATGGACGGGCATCTTGGATCGAAAGGCATTATGGAGCGTCCAGGGGGTAAATAAGGCTTTAGCTTCACCACCGGAGACTACAACATGAGTTAAGACGGCACATCGATTACCTTTACCTATAAAAGAAACGGATAAACACACGAAACTCTATATATTTTCGGTTATCTTTCTTTTGTTTTGCCCCCTGGCAAGATGGCCGCCGTATCGTCGAATTTTTGTCCACCCATACCACAACATCGCTGCGTTCCTTGATTGCAAACTCAGGGTTAGACTCATTTTAGTGTCAACATTTTGACAAATATCACAAAAGCAAATAAAGAATGCATAACCTCAATTAATGACACAAACACTTTGAAATTCCAGGCACTTTCACTGGAAYACAAAGGTATTTTACACAAAATCGAGGCTAACCCTGAGCAACAGACAATAGACCATATTCGTGGTGTGACAATGTTTTCCCAATTCAGCGTGACGAACCTTCAGAGGATTCATTTTCTTTTGTTTTTACTCTTCGAAAAATTCATGAGTATCCCAAAGGATACGAAAGGAATAACGATGATATCCCGACGAGTTGCAAAACAATAGCTCTTCATTCCCCCAGAGGTTTGTCACGCTGAATTGGGTAAACATTGTCACACCACGAACAAGGTCTATTCGAAACTAGAATATTGAATTACTTAAAACCTAGAATTTCGTCTTATCTCGATTGGCTTGTCTTAAATATAAAGAAATACAGTATAAAAACCCATGGGTTGGCTATTTTAAACATGATAAATTAAAACAATACATTTTCTATCAAATTATTCACTGATAGTCATCTATAATATCTACAATAAAGCTAATTTGAGCTGAATATGATGAAAGGAAATTTGTTCGGCTGCTCGGAAGTTTAAGGTAGCATGTGCATCGGCTGATAAAATATCTAAAAAAATATCCAAGATGGCGGACGTTTGTAATCAACTTGGTGTACGAGGCAGCCATCTTGAATCATACCTCGAATTACAGGCAAAAGCAGAGCTTGGTTATCAAGAAAAATATAGAATAAAATACGTCTTACCAAAGCATACTTCAAGTGTACAAGTGTATATACTGAGAAGTGGTGAAATTCCGCTGATACTTGTTGTTGCAGAATTGTGAATTGTAATAGTTTTGGTAACCAAGCCTTGGAGTAAAAGCGTGGTTACCTTTCAAGATGGCTGCCATGGCATGGAACTACAATGCATAAATTTAATTCTTTCTTCATATCCACTGATCTCTAGTCAAAAATATATAAACCTTATGTTTTCTTATAATATTTGGTTACAGAGAACCAGATATATTTTTCTGTTGTTTTCTCGCTGCAGTAAATAATTAATATTTCACTGAATAGTTTAATTTCTTGACTTTCATCTTCTTCTGGCTTATTTGTACAGTACTTTCCTTCACGCTATCAAATAAAGGCAAAAAATTGTAAGCAGAAAACTTAACCTCTAGGATCTCATGTTATTGGTAAAATTAAACGTGCGTAGAGTTTGATGGGTTTCTCCATTGGTTCGAGGGTTTTTCTACGGGTTTTCCGGTTTTCTTTATTCTGCAAAACGTCCGAGGCCAAATTCCGATTCATTTTATAAGTTTTGTAAGATTGTTTCAGGGTTCAATCTGTGWGTTAGCCATGCCCTGACTTAGGTCAGCCCAGAGGTTGTTTCAAGGCTCGATCTGTGAGTTAGCCATGCCCTGACTTAGATCATCCCAGAGGTTGTTTCAGGGTTTGATCTGTGAGTTAGCTGTGCCCTGACTTAGATCAGCCCAGAGTCGGTTGTTTCGGGGCATAAAGGTAAAATTGACGCTGATCTGTTTGACTTAATAATAATTAATAATTTATTAATCCACTTGGGAGTTTCCCATCTCAGACCACACGTGGGTGTCATTTTCTTAATCACAATATTCTTTGCTTTCGTGTCGAATGACTGGTAACCAAAGAAATATTACTCAAGGGAATGACACGATCTTTCTTGATCACGTGATTCCGGTTGTTACTCACGTGATCTCGCCTTGCAGATGTATCGGAACCTTGAATTACACGGGTAGTCGTTCCATTGACCGTCGGGCTTCAAGACTCCACAATCTTCGTTCTTCAAGTAACCACCGTCGTTAGGGTCGCCTGGAGCCCAGTTATGGTACGAGTTTTGTGTCCTTGGTTAAAAAAAAAAACTGAGTTATGACCTTTTTACTTATATAAACTCAACACACTTAATTCCAATTTTATCTGTAAGTTGGCCATATCCTCTTTGATCATCCAAGAGGTCGTTTCAGGGTTTGATAAGATTGATCTTGAATGGGCGAAACTGGGTGTAAATCTACCTCTAATTCTGTGCCAAGCATTTGGGTTGACAGGAGTTAGTTATACTACGACGAATTTAAAAGACATAAAAACGCCTGACTATACATATCTAGCTATCTTTAAAACGAAAAAAATAAATAAATAAAAGTTGAGTAGGTATAAGATTCARGTCACCCATCCAGGTACTAACCTCCCTCAATCGGGCTTGACTCAGTGGTCCTGGAAAGCCAAAGTTTTTCCCACTGAGCCACGGTTCAAAACAATTAGCATAACAATAGCCTTGAAAACAATGC